CATGAAGTGTCACATCTGTAATGTGACAAGCAAGGCTGTTTAAATGTGTATCATACCAGAAATTTATATACAATATGTACGCTGGACGTTGTAAAGTTTCTTGGAGTTACATGAAGTAGGATATTTCAGTTTAACATCACGTCCACTTCACAGGTACACCTCGTATGATCGGGTACATACACTTTTGGTATTTCCACTTATGCATACATTAACCTTATCTACAGAGTGCATTTATAGCTGAACTGTTTAAGTCACCATGAATACCAATTATATAACGCAAATTCAACCGCACAGAATGATTTCAGTTCATTTGACCAAGCCAGGATCACGAGGTACTTCCAACAGATTTGTGTACTTAATACTCTTTCATATAGTTAAGGGAACGTGCATATTGTGATGACTGATGAACGGATAAATTTTTAAATAACCAAGGCAGTACAATTTCCTCCGGGTAGCACTCGACAAACATACAGAAACATACAAACAGTCGAACGACCTTCAAATTTGCTACATGATAAGGAATCAAAACACTTCACAAGTCCCTCGCTAATAGGAGGCCTGTAGTTAATTTATTGCACATAGTACTCGGCCTACTTATTAAGAGCGGTCATTTATTTCAGATGTATTGAAGACGTAATAATCTCTTCTTAAACCCATTCAACCTAGCCCAAGCGTGTGCAAATTATGTACTGGAAATTAGCGTAGTTTGGAGGGCACCGGTATCCGTGTATTCATTCATTTATTCTTCTTCCGACATGAGAATTCTCACCAAAGAGGGAATAGAACCATGTGTGAAGATACGATATGGGACTAAGTTGAGCGAATCCTTCTCAAGATCCTGTAATGAGATATGTACATCGAATCGCTAATATTATTGCGGCCAAATACATATGAAAGCAGATATGGGGAAAACCTTAGTCTCTAAGTAAACTTGTCCCGGTTTTGCGATAGCAGTGGTATTGGAACACTGCTTGCGGAAAACGTCACATACAAATTCTTGAGATAAAACAAGGAAAAAGACAGACATAACAGCTTGCATTGGCTGGAGTCTTCGCGAAACATCAAATCACTAGAGATTCATCGAGCAGTTGGATCAGCATTAAACTGTTTACATGCATTTAGTTTTTTCTCCTCTGAACGCCACGAACTTACGCGCCCTAAGCTCGTTGACTAACGATTGGCTACCTGTGTGTAATTAAAGTAGGCATGCTCTGATTTTGCCATTGTCAACACCTTTGGGTGTATGCAATATAACCAAACACAAGTGGTGATGTGTTTTTTAATGCACTATCCATTAGGTTGTTGTAAACCCCTCGACAGACGCCGACCGATTTTGTCCTTGTTGGGGATCATTAGGAAGGCTCGGTCCCCGAGTTTCCGTCGACCTTATGTTTTACTTGAAACCGAGTGCAAAAAAATCAGCGAAATACACTCATCTTCTGCACGGATCAACCGAAATAATCTGGTTGCAATAACCAGAGCCTTTCCCCAATCGGGGCCTTTGAGTTTCGCTATGAAGTTTTTGGAAGTTGACTTGCCTCCAGTTAATTCGTCGGTGTGAAACATTTTCCCAAGAAGAGTGCAGTTTTCAGAAATCTCTTCAGTAAAGCGAACGTTTAGCAGTTCAGTATAGGTGCACATATGATGCAGGATGCAAGATTTTCAGGACTGTTCAGCGATATAGCAAGGTAGTTTTAAAGGAATTTACTTCCCGATGTGTCGTCAATGTTAAAGGCACCTAAAAGTTTGTTAAGAAATTTAATTATTTTCAAATCTATTAGGCTGTTTGTTGGCAACAGTGGTTTCAAAGCTTTTTGTGGCTCCGAAAGACAAATAGCAAGCAAATTCGGAACGGGAGTGTGGGTGTACTAGTACAAGCTTTCCAGGGGAGCTGCATCAATACCACTAATGGCATTGTGGTCATTTTGGGTCGCTGGATATGGTGCTCTTCAGTGGCAGCATGCAACCGTGTGACAGCTGTAATTCGGGTATTTGTTGCAGCACACAACTATATCAGTCATTTAGTTTGTCCAAGAGTGTCCCACAAGATCCAATCCGACCAAATTTGTGAACCTCTGATGCTTTATGAGCCCTATTTAAGCAATAAAACCTCCGGCATCCACAAGTACGACTCTGCACTTGGACCATTAAATTGGTGAATCGAGGCGTCATAAATGTTTCTTAGGATCCCGCTAGGGCGCATACAGTCTCAGCATACAGACATTGACTAAATTTATTTAATGAAATTGCAAGATAAACCACATATATATAGCTATAAATGGAGTCAAGTGACGTTTGACTGATCCGTACATGTAACACCAAAGACTTGTGCAAAGCAGACTGACTCATCAACCTTAAAATGTACACATTAAACGCGTCATTGATATTGTGATGGTGGAAGGAGAAGGAAGAACGTGAAAAGAAGGAATGAGATGAGAATTTGGATGCTTCATTTTACTCACCCTAGCAGGCGTAACAAGTCAGGAGACCCTGCTGATAATACAAAGCGACGGCAAATGTCGTAAGTCAACATAGCTATTTTCAGGAATCATTATCATTCGCTAACTGAGATAATGTCAGGGGACAGAGAGGCAGATGAATGATTTTTCACCGCAGTAAAAGCTGGTAACTGAAACTAATTTCTTCATCAGATTCTCCTCCTCTTCCACACCTACCTGATCACGATACACCAAAACGCTGTCTATTCATTTACAGGGGCCACATCTGTATTTTTAATGTTTTAAGACAAATATATCCCGAACATGATACCAGCGAGTCTGAAGCTACAAAAGTGCATATTTTTCAGCTAACTAGTAACGAGTACTCTCACCACTATTGCATCATTTGTCAAGTTCTAGCAAACACGATCCATATGGCAGCTGGAAGACACAAAAGCTGTGAGACTCTGTATAGACTCTATTATTCTGCGCCGAGAACGCCCAAATGTTTCAAAACAAATCTTAAGAAATGGGTGTGCTCAGTGTACTGCCCGATATTGTTCGGTCATTTTGCATGTTTAGAATGACGGAAAAAACAGTTTTTTTTTAAAGGTTTTATCCTGATGGACTTACTCAGGAGTAACGTAAATGACTTGCATATTAGCCCGTCAATCATAAATAAACCTAACTGGATATTTCACATGCAAACTTACGGCATAATTTATTTAAACATTCAAGAACCTCATTTTAGCATGCACCTAGCCGTTTCAGCCCGGCAGCAGCCACAGTAAAGTTCTTTGATATTCGTTTATCTTTCAGCAAAAGTCCTTCTGTTTAGAAAGGTGCTTGTAACCTACTAATCGCGGTTGTAAACTAAGTAAATTACTAGTTTAGTTGTTTTCACTCTGCTTTCGTTGCGAAAACATTCCCCAGATAGTTGATCTAACGTGGACTGGGTTTTTTCTGCACCAGAGGCAGCCTATGGCGCCACTCATGAAAGCATTCCTAGCTCGTGTAACCAATTTGTCCACAGAACCCCCCTGAATATTTACTACAAAAAATTCGGTAGTTTCCTAACTATAGTCAGTGAACCTAAAGTATATGGGCAGGAAAATGGCTGGATACATGTGTTAAATATTGTGTAGATCAACCGGGTTATTCTTGGTTGTGGCAACACGACACTCTTTGAGCAAACCAATATTTTATTGAAGTGCTTTATTTTCAATGCCCAAGTGGGTTAACAAGATTGGTTTCTTTGATATTTTCCTCTAAGTGAGGTACGGTAGTAGATACTTCACAAAATCGTTTAACTGTAGCACCCTTTTGATGTCTAACTGCAACACCACCCGAAGGTTGCACGAAGACTGTGGAATAGGCGGGTTGCGCAGCCTGGAAGGGGGAATTTGAGTGTAATAAGTCAGATGCGAACCACGGATCTTCCAGTCGGTAATTTTGCGTCATGACCACTGGGTCATCTCATCCGGCATTCTTTAGAAATTTCTAGTTATTTCGGGTGACTTTCAAATTACTTTTTACCGATGCATAGTTGCATATTTAACCCACTTTCTCAAAACATGCAGTAGTCTATGGTCATCCATGCTCATATTCGCTGCTGTTGTCTGGCGAATGGCCGACAAACTATTTACTCATCAGTTGATCATTATTCATCACCAAAAAATTAAATTCCAACACTGTTTGTTTAGCTATCCCGAGGCTAAACTACAACACTTTTGGGGGAAACTCCCAACGCGGTACTCAGTGCTACTGCACTCACTATGGAACTTGCAATCTAAGTTTATCTCGGGTAAATGTCAACCGCATTTGAAGAAAGCTAAGAGCATGAGACATTTCGAACCCATTTGCACTTATATCAGACAAATGTACATGTATTTGGATAAATACGTGCATAAGTAAATATATAAGGTGTTACATCATGGTTTCACAAAGCATGCTAATAAAGTCACCTTGACGATAACATTCAACGTATGGCCTTGATCCAATTGACAAAGTATGACTTTAGTATAAAATGGCATTAACAAGCACCCAATGTTCCACAATGTTTAAGGGATTTAGGATGCAATTATCCAGACCTTTAGTCTTCACTTTGGTGCTGTATTATTTATCTGTTACGCACGCTGTCAGCTTCATAGACTGCGGTAAGTCGTAAAATAATGCACTTGTACAAAATTCGGTTGGATTCTTTTAATACTAAGCTTCCGAAACCGGCTGTACGTCTGGTTGGCGGCTCATGACAATTGCTCTGTAAATGATTTAACATTAGTATCATATCCGTCAACGTTGACAGATAAAGATGGTAGATCATGATGTCATCCTGAGTGAAGATCTTCCCCGCTGAACTTGAAATAAAATCTGTTTTCTGACTAATCTGGGGTAGGCAAATGGGCAATTGCTGTTACAGTAAGCGAAATGTGCTTACGTAGCCAGCTAGAAGTTCTAACAAGTTGTACTTTCGTGCTTAAGTTTCTGATAAAATAAATCATAGATTTACCGAAAAATTAACCAATCCTGAGAAGTTATTTTGCGTCCTTTTAACCTTCAGGTTCTGAGAGCGTCACTACGAGGTTCGTGAAGATCTCACCCTGCCACAGTGACCCTTGTATTTTATTTGTGGGGGAATCCGTCACCATTGAAGTCACATTTCTGGCAGGTTAGTAACCACTGGTACTCATTTCTGTGTTGTGTAGTATTCAATTTTATTTCTCTCGATAACTAACATTGTGTTGTGTAGAAGAACTTTTCCCATCAACAGTTTCTATGATATTTTAAAGTACCCACCGTTATGTGGCTAAACTGTTTTTTTCACATATGTGATTAAACAACCTATTTGTATTTAAGTCGGTTATGTTTCGTCATTCAGAGTATAGTTATTTCAAGGTTGTTTATATTGTATAAAGTCATCAAGCCAAGGAAATCTTATCAGCATTTGACATACCCGAAAAGCATATGAAAATCACATTCCATTTACAATGAAATATGGGTGGTTAATTCTGTGTCATTTTGATTTTATAAACCTGCGCCCCTCATACAGGAGCAGATATCGTACCAAGCGTGTTTAGGCTGAAAAGTAGAATTGGAGGCAAGCTTTCAGACAAAATTTTCCTTGATGATGCCGTATGTTCTCGCTTCTCACCAATGTGTCCTATTCGATCTGGAGGGACATACACATACAGATTCAAAGGCGTGGTCAAACGAGGTCAGTCAAACGTAAGTATAAGCCGATCTATCAACACAACGGATAGTAACGTTTAGTAATTATGTCTTTCATCACTTTCAACGAACAAGACTTATCGGGTGTGGTGATTTTTCAAATTTTATATGCACTGTTTAACAGTTATTCCACAATACCAAGAAAACACGTTTACCCTCAGCAAGTTCTGGCCTATACGTTTTCGGATAACATCACTGTTTTTGTTTAGAACAATGGAACCGGGCAACAATTAGTTGGCAAATTGTAGCTCAAAATACGATCTATGGTTTAATGGCGCAGCCGATGTGCAAACAATAATATGGAGACCGTGGTCAAGTAAAGTCTCACCTACTGGTTTATTGGAACAGTACTTCAGGTATTTGTTTAAAACAGCAAAACTAAGCCGGATTACACGCTGAGCGTTTGTTATGCTGAACGAATATCATTTATCTAAATATATGCCTATATGCACATATGTGTGAAAATACGAGGGAAAGTCCCCCTGAGGTTTAGGATAATTTTTTCCCAATAAATTTTATCTATGATGCTGGTGAATGTCAGCATGTGACCATGTGACAGCTGTGATTTTGTATTTGATGGTACATAAGTTATCTTCCCAGCAAATAACTAAATTAGTCATTTGGTTTGTCCAAGAGTGTCCCACAAGTTCCAATCCGACCATATTTGTGAACCTCAGATGCTCTATGAGCCCTAATTGGGAAATAAAGAAGTCTCCGACAACCACATTTACAACTGTGCACTTGGGCTATCAAAATTGGCTAATCGAGGCGTCATAAATATTTCTTAGGATCCTGCCAGGGCGCATAAAGCCCCAGCGTACAGACATTGACTAAATTTATTTGATGAGATCGCAAGGTAAGCCGCATAAAGGTAGCTGCAAATGGGAGTCAATTTTTTATGTGCACAAAGGCGTGAATTAAATCATTCATTTCCAAGCATCTTGGCTAAGGATCGGAATTAACCTTGCATGCGCTGGTTTTTAGAATGCCCACTTGAAAAACAATATGATTCAAGATGAAAATTGACTTACATAAACTGATAGGCCTCCACCTCAACTGAGGGCCTCAGAATTATATTCACGTTTGATCATCCACTTTTTTATTCTCCCGATAAATTTCCACAGAAACGATAAAAATATAACGGGCCTCAGTTACATTTCGTACACAGGGTGGGGTTTGACGAGGGAATTACATAGGAAAATAACTTGCAGTTCAGTATACTGGTGGGAACATGTTATGACCATTCCTTCACACACACGCTGAGTGACGATGATTGGGTTCTGGATAGCAGCTACAAATGGCAAACACGGCATTGAGAGAAACCTCAGCCTTGATATGTCGAATGAAGTCGTGTTTCGTTAGCCCAGTGTCCCTTAATCGATAGCGTATTTGAACAAAACGGTCCAGGTGAACAAACCCGAGCTAATTTTGACACTTTCGGGCCCGTTGTAAGAAATGTTGCAGACACACTCCAACCTAAGCCCCAATATACTTCCTCATGATTGTCCTCTTTAGAATGCCTGGGACATGAAAACAAGCAAAATAGCTCGCTCAGCTATTGAACTGTTGCGCTTCTAAATTAAAATATTTTGTTGCGCAGCTTTAACCATATCCTAAAGGGTATAATGTGCTCGTGACACAATTCACAATTATGTAACTTAGGAGAATTGAAAACAGTTTTTTTCAACGTGCAAGAAATAGAACAATAGAAATCTCCCGGTAATCTCACTGGAGAATTCTGGCAAACAAAGGTGTATCGGTTGATAAGATATACCGTAGTGGTCCTGTTAACCAAGATTCTGTTTCCACGATCAAAAAGCACACAAAAAGGGCATACATATATGTATACTTTCCAATTACCAGAGAACCTCAGTGCTATTCAAAATGGTAATCTGAAGTACCTTTGCGCATGGCAGTGAAAAGCAGAGCGTTTTAAGCAGTTAAACACGTAAGATACCGTATAATGCTACCAAGCATGCATGTTGGCTAGAGTCGTGGATTTTATTATTATTATTAAATAACAGTGCTGTCAGTCGTCTGACAGACAGAGGCCCACCACTCGAAAAAGGCTACCATATGTTTCATGTAACGTTTCGTTTTACAGAAATTGATGAATGGCCGTTTGGAACTGGCAAATATGAAGGGCAAAGTTTTCTTGTGCGCGGAATTCGGTATGCGGATACTGGATCCTAACCCAAAGGCGTGAAACAAAATGCTGGACTTGTCCGTGTTGATAAAATACACCCATTATTTTGTTATGCATTAGCATTTGTACACATCCAAGCATACCTTTCTGGTTATAGTAGAAACGTAATATATAGCGTGCTTGTGTGGAAACACGCAGGTTACTGCATGAGCGGAGGGGAACCTACCTGAGAGGTCATCTAATGCATCCAGCGTAGGCCATGTTTCTACACCGGAAAACGGGAATGTTCCCACCGTTGGTGCATAAATAAACATATGTTCTTGCACCCAGCACCTAAGTCAAACTTTGTCTTGATATTATTGACCGACTTTCAGGGAACTTTTTGTGTTGTTACAGAAAGCTGACTCATTTCTGACACCATTTTGAAAGAAGCAAGCAAGTTACTAGCGTAACTGTTCTACCGCATTTTTCATTATCCGCCCGTGAACAAGTAACGGATGTCGGGTGTTCGGAAGACGGTCCGCTGTTTATTCCACAAAGGTAGCAACAAGATTGTCTTCCTGTTGTTATAGGATAGTCTTTACAGGGTAGGATGACTCGGTTCATAGATGGGAAAATTCTGTCCTTTGTTCAATCCACGTATCCTCCCAACATATTACAATACACAGTCTTACTCGATAAAGTTTATCCTTCTACGTGCAGTAGCTTATGCTTATTTTCTTCCAAATATACAATAGGAGAATAGTCTGTGATTAGCATTTCTTGCAACTCCAATAAAGGATCCACAAGATCGTCAAATTTTTGCAGCTTTGTTTTGGTTAAAAGATGTGCGCAAATATGCCGATGGCTAACACCTGAGGAAAAAATTACCGGATGGATGTCTGGTCCACTGTATGGGTACTATGTGTAAGCCAATCGGGATACGTCAGAATAAGAAGTCATCTCAAACAAATGTCATCTCATAACAGGTAGTTATTTATTTCAGCCCACACATTGTCCCTAAACGCAACTACGCCTAGATATCTACATCTTTTCGTAACGACACTAGAAATGTCCTTTGGTAGTCCTTGTATCATACACCTAAATCCACGAGAAACCGAAAAAGGGGTGGTGCAAAATACAGAAATCCATTATCGTTCTTGTTGGCATTTGCCTGGAGGCCTCGTCGACTTCCGTGAACGTTTTATTATAACCGGTGGGTAGTACACGACCCAAGCCAACGCTGCGATTTGCTACATAGTTATCACTCTACGTGATTTTGTTTTTCAATGAAATATCCAAGTTTTATTTATAACAACCGTTTGTCTGGTATAGATGAAGGGAATGTACTTGAGACTTAATCTAATCTGATGAATCTATCGAAATAAACTTTAATGCAGATATTTAAGCATTCACCAAACAACTACCTTTAAAAGCTACATTATCCCCAAACTGAGTGCGCATTTTCGGCGAATTAGCGCCGCATGTTGGGATTTTTTGTGATATTAATGAGCCAAGATGTAATGGACTAAAATACCCGCTTGTCATTTATCTGTAGCTGAAGCAAACAGACACCCGTCGTCTCTGCCAAATGGCCCGCTAAACTACGCTTGATATTTTAAGGAAATGTGAAGTGTGAATAAGACGGAAGCGAGTCGCACCCAGCAAATTATGGAAAACTTTTTAAGTGAATATGTGGTAGTGTTTGGCCTGTAGAAAATGATGGCATTCCAGGGAAAGCAAGACTTAGCCTATGTATGCGGAAATGCAGGAGTCAATTGATTTTGGTGGAATACTACATAGTCAATGTTCTAATAAATGCATGTGTTTGGAACGGATGTGCACATGTACCAAGAGATTTATTTAAGAAAAGAATTAGAGTTCATTCCATGCTAAATGCTTTGAGATATCAAATGCGAGTTGGTAGACATTTATTGGTGGACAAATAATTTTTAACACAAGATCCTTTAACACAAAGTTTGAAATACAGGATTCTGGGAATCCGTACAAACCCAATTCAAAAGAATTATACTGCTCCTCTTTAGAACTCTACTTATACTTCCTCTGACTTAGAGACAGACCGTCTGAGCGCATTGGCGTCAAGCACTGCCAAGTGCAAGTGCGAAAACGATATTCAACGTTTTGGGCACTAGTTGGAAGGCGATAACTCGTACCAACCGATTAGCCATATGTGTACATTCCAGATGATCAAATAATCGATGTTACCTAGAACGTAAAAAACGGTTTAAAAGTTATAATTCTACTTTGGTCTCCCTGTATCAATGTTGCTCGCGAAGACAGATGTGGCAGAAAATATATTCTCACAAACGAAAGTATGCAGCAATCAAGGTAATATAGCAACTTATTTTTACGTGTGGGACACTGACACTTTCTCGCGAGCAAACCATTCTTAACCACATAGCCACCCGGAAACAAATATATACAGTTTGAAATGCGATAGCAACTGCTAAATTTTACTCCTTAAATGTTATTCTACCGGGCAACAACAGCAGAAGTTAGCAATTGGAATCAAATCTAGGCGCAAAGTACATTATTGGATCTTTTACAAATGAACCAGCTCTAAAAAACGGAGCACCCCCGAAGACGTATAGTTGATTGGTTGTATGGGCTTTCTTGCGTTGTACTTTTTCCAAACAATGAGAATCAAATCACCAATTGTTTCTATGGGGAAAACGTTTGGTAGCTCATAAAGCTGATATGGAATAGGTCGCTGAACGGTGCAATTATCTGTTTGCCGCAGTATTGGGATTATGGGAACCTTCGACCAGAAAGTTGTGGAAAACATACCTGGTATGCATGACTCGAAGTGAGTAATCATCTGGGTCCGCTAACCAGCCATTGACAACGG